AAATACCCTAGATCCCCCCCACACCCCAACCAGCTCCTGCCTCCTCCGTCCTGCTGTCAGAATCCAGCTCTAACCCTCTAGACTCTGTCCTTATCCCCTGGCTGTCCCTCTCGCCATCACACGCCCATCTGAGTCAGAGCTGGCTCATCTGAGTCTACACCAACCCCAAGAGCAGGGACCCCTGTTGCCTGCTCCCACCCCTTGGCAATCACTCAACATGGGCCTGCTTTATGAGGAACATGTGGGTCATGTGTGCTTTCTGATGTAGAATCTGGTTAACACTGGGTTAGCATGGGGATCACGCATCTCAGGGTCTGGATTTCTATCTGAAGTCAACTGTGGGAGATTTTAGCTCTCTAAACCTCCATTTCCTTTTCTAGAAAACAGCAAGCATACTTGTCTAAGCCCTACAGGGTACTCTGAGGATGAAATGAACACAGAGAGGTAAAGGGCCCAGGATGGTGCCTGGCACACAATAGCTTTGCCATCATTCTGTAAGTGCTGCTGCTGATCATGATGATGACCGTGACCATAAATCTCATTCACCCTCCACACACCCCCACCTCGGGCTGGGAGTAGCAGCAATGAAAGAGAGGCACATTCCAAACTTGCACTCAAGGGACCTATATAAAATAGGGATTCACTGGAGCCAGTGTTGTAAGGTAGTGGGTAAAGCTGCCACCTGCAGTGCCGGCATGCAATATGGGTGCTGGTTCGAGTCCCCCCACTGCTTCATTTCTGATCCAATTCCCTGCTAAAGTGCTTGGGAAAGCAGCAAAGGATGACCCAAGTGCTTGTGGTCCCTGAACCCACATGGGAGACGTAGAAGCTCCTGCCTCCTGGCTTTGGCCTGGCCCAGCCCTGGCCGTTATGGCCATTTGGGGAGTGAACCAGCAGATGGAAAATTCTCTCTCTCTCTCTGTAACTCTGCCATTCAAATAAAGTCTTTAAAAATTGCCTAGAAATTCAAATACCTAAAAATTTTGTGTAGAACAAATACATAAATAAAATAGGGATTCACACTAGGGCACGGTAGGACTGCCTGCAAAGCTGTTAGAAGTGGCTCCATCAATGACAGCAGCCATCACTAAGGGTAGCAGGAAGAACTCAGACTGGTGGGGCCAGAGAAGCCTAGCAGCGATGTCTCAGTCAGGGTGGACCAGGGGAGGCTTCCCAGGGCAGGCAGGGACTAGAGTAGGGCTCTCCATGCCCCAGAGCCAGGGAGATGCAGTTCCAGGCCAAGGAAGCGGTAGGAAGAGAGAGAGAGCTGGGCAGGGTGGGCACCTGGGCTCAGCTGAACAGGAGGCAGCATGGGACAGAAGAGTTAGACACAGTTGGGCTGGATCTGGGGGTGGGCAGTGTGGCAGAGCCCTGGAAAAGGGTCGTGAGGTCCCAGCCATGTCAGATCTCCAGGAGGTCAAAACAAGGAAGAATCTTTACAGATTATCTAATCTAAACTTCCCTCGGACAGATGGGGGCACTGAGGCCCGGAGTGGGAGGCCTCCTCTGGGAAGGGAGCCAGCAGTGGCTCCTCCTCCCACTTCTCCTCCTGACTGCAGCGGCTCCCGTTGCCATGGGGACGTCCCTGGCTCCGCGGGTGTCAGCCGCTCCCCCACCCCCTCCCTCTTTCCCTAGCAACAGGCCACCTCCTCCGGCTCTCATCCTTGCGTGCCCAGCAAACCCAGCCTGGTCCCCAGGATCCCCGACTGCCGGCTCTACCGTCACTTCGGTGGCACCAGGCAGCCGGGGCTTCCTCATCTTCTGGGGTAATGGTGGCAGCGGCGGGTGGGGGTGGGGCGTGCTGGCCCAAGCACCTCTTGCCCCTCTGTGTTTTCAAGTTCTGCCCTTGTGCACAGTTTTCTGCCTTGACTGGGCAGTATACATGACAGTGGATTGGACTAGGGGTAGGCAAAGGGGGACTACAAGTTGTGGAGCCACTCTTTGATGCTCAGCATTGCTTTAGTACAAGTTCTCTGCCCACCCCCAGGGAAGAAGTCAGAATTCGCATGTGCACTCTCCCAAGAAGAAACTCAGGACCAGACAAGTTCAGGGACATGGCAAAGAGCACAAATATGAAATTGGCTCCATGGAGAGCTAACTTTGGGACCTTGAACCACGGCCTCTCTGGACCTTGGCTGAAGCTGTCTTAGTTTGGACGACTTCTCATGGATCTTCAGGAAGTCCAGGCAGCTTCCTATGCCTGCAGCCGTCCCCACCCCTAGCCGCATGGCTCAAAATAGACTCCGTTGTACTTCCTGTGGTATGCCACACCATGAAGCCTTCAGGCTTGGGCCCTGCCATGGCGTGCTATGCAATCCTCCTACCCTGCTCACTCATCACTCTTCAGTCCAGCTTAGCCCCTCTCCTTGGCATTTCTTCTATCCTCCTAGGCCTTCCTCCAACACACACACACACACACAGCATTCACTAGAGGAAAACCGAGGTTCCAAGGACTGAACTGATTTGCCCAGTCACCTAACTAGAAAGCAACCTAGCCACAAATGGAGCCCTGTGCCTGTATCCAAAGTGTCCCTGCGTCCTACGCTACAGAGCCCAGCCCCTCTCCTGCAGTGTCCCCCGGCCCTCTACTGATGACACAAGGGAATCAGCAACCAGTCTCAAGCAACATTCTCAATAGGGGCTCTTTCCCTGCCCAGATCTTGTGGTTTAGCCCAGCTGATCACTCGCTGTCTCTAAACCTGCCCCTTGCCTTCTTATGCACGCTGATTTCCACCTCCAGGGTTCTCTCCTCACACAAAGTCAGCCCCCTCTAGCCCTGTCAGACACCACCTGCTCCAGAGGGCCCTACCCAGCCCTGGCTCCAAGTCCAAAGTCTTCCCAGCATGCTTGCAAGGGCTTGTCCCCAAACACGCTCTGCTTTAGGTCCTTCCCAAAGCCTGCCTTTCATCCTTGCTTCTCCCACTACTGAGTCCTCAAGGTCCCTCTACCTTGCATCCAGAATGGATACCAGGAAGTATGTCTGGGTAAAACCAGTGCTGGCTTTGGATCCAGACAACCCAGGGTGTGAGTCAGACAGATGCTCTCTTCCCCTGGGGCAGAGCACCAACCCTCTCGGAACCTCCTTTTCCCCATCTATAAATTGGGGATCCCAATCTGTGCCTAGTAGGGCTGTTGTGAGCATTAAATGAGATCATATTTGGAGTTCTTAGTCCGTGAGAAGCCAGGGATGACTGTTCCAATTACTAACATTAGGATGAGGATGAGGATAAGAGTTATTAAACACAAGGTTCTCAGGGGCTCCTGAGGTCACAGTATAGGAATAGCTCTGGGCTTGGTGCTAAGCAGACCTGGGTTTGAATCCTGGTGGCTATAGGCAAAACCTATAACCAGCACAAGCCTGTTTCCTCAGCTGCGAAACAATGATGATAAAGCTAGCCCAGGTGCCACCTACAGTGTTATGGAAGGATCAAATGAAAGAAAGTCCCTGACAATCTCTGGGCATTGTAAAGGCCCAACATGTCATCATATGACTTAGGCTCATATTCTCAGAGCTGTAGGTCGCAGCAACTTCCCTGCTGGGCAGAGCTGAGACCTCGAGACATCTGCTTCCTCAACAAGTAGCAGGCACATCACAGGGGAGGCCTGCGGGAGCCCTGTGCTCAAGGTCAGGCCAGGCTGCCCTGCCCCAAACCCACAGTGAGACAGTGAGATCCATGTCCTTTGCTAGACAAGTGCCTTCGTAAGTGCTAGGACAAGCTGTGCCTGGGCCATGCACCTTGGCTGCATGCTGGGATTAATTATGCCGCATCACAGACCCCTTGCTTGGACACTGGGCCTGACTGTGTTCATTACAGTCCCCTTGTTTTAATGCTGGCTTCGGTGTGCATCCATCCCAAAAGCCCCGATGCTGGCCCTGGGCATCCAATCAGTACATTCACTCCAAATCCCCTGCCTGGGATGCTAGGACAGAGCGTGGCTCATCCACCTCTGTGTGCTGGCCACCAGCTCATACCCACTATCTGGATGACAGTATCTGGGCTGCTGTCTATGTTCAGGCAAGGTACGCCCTGCACAATGGGTCACAGACAAGGAGAGCAAGAACTGGAACTAATCCCCAACCCATGCTATGCTCACCAAGCTGGGAACTTTGGTGAGGGTGGCCCCCAAGGAAATGGAGCATATTCCAACAGATCCACTCAACACGGCTGCCCTTGAAAGGGACACCTTGTTCCGTTCTTCGCAAAGGTATCCTATGTGCCATACGAGTAGCAGCCCTGGCTGGGACACACCTTGTGCCTCCACTGCCTGGTCTGTGATCATTTCAGCGGCCCATTCCCTAGCCCCCCCCCCCCCCGCCTAGATGCCAAGATGGGCCCCACCCTGAACCTCTCTTCATTCCTATATAGCCCCAGGCGTGGTTCTTCCGCCCTCCTGAAGCTCCTGATGCTAACCTCCAGAAAGTCACCCAGAGCCCTTGTCTCTACCCCGGTTTTAGACCTGTCTCCTCAAGCGGCAGACTGATCACGCTTTGAAAACTTACTGCAGCTTGTAAACTTGTTCACCAAGTGCACACACCGTTTTTTGCTTGTCACCGTCCTGTGGATTTCTAACATCTTGAACGTGTCATGTGCAAAAGTCCCTCCAAATCCCATAGCTCAGGGCAGGCACGGTTCATGGTGAACGTGAACACTAGATTAGGAGAGACCCAGCACCCATCATAACCCTTTTCTCCTGGCAGCACCAGGTGGAAAAGGTCCCACGTGCAGAGCCGACCTCTCTGCTTTCACATCTGGGCAGCTCCTGTGAGCACTTTCGGGGTTCAGCTAAACCCTCAAGTCAGGTAGGGTCAGACAGAATGAAGAACAATCTCCAACCCGCCACCCTCCCACTGCACTCCACACCCACCTCTGATTCCAACAGGGGGAAAACTCTTGCGTTGCCCCATCCCTGCCCATGGATCCCGGAAGTAACAAACCAGAGGCCCCCGCCCCCAGCCCTGCTCCATCCCCCAACTGCTGGTAAAGAAAGGAGGTACTGACCTGACTGTTCTGGAATTCTCACCATCAGATCTGAAAAGGAAACAGAGGGGAGGAAAAAAAAACACACACACAGTCAGCGTATGCGTCCACTCCTCTCCCTCCGCCCTCTGTAGTGGCCCTGGGGCCAAATGCGCGTCAGGAGAATGAGGGGAAGGGTATCTCAGGTCAGGAGAATGGCAAGTATGAAGGCAGTGGGGTTGCAAGGTGCCCAGGCAGTTGGGGAAACAAGGAGGAAGGCAGTGTGATGGAAATGGAGTGGGCCGGGGCAAGGATGCTCACAAGTGAGGCCAAAGAAGTACCAGGAACCAACCATGGGGGGGGCCCTCATGCGTCACAGCCAGGAATGTGGCTTTCCTCTGGGTGCCCCCTCCCCCCAGCAGTGGTCCTTACAGCCACGGGCAGGTGCAGAGCCCCAGCTTTAAATACACAGAGACCTAGGCTCGGTTACCAGCTCTGCCACCTGCCAGCCCTTCACCTCTTGGAGCGTGAGCCTCAGTCTCCCCATTTGTAACGCTGAAGCCGACGCTCCCAGGGCTGTTGGGATGATTAAGCTCTCAGGAACCCAGCAGACAAATGCCAGGTATTATTAACAACACACAAGAGGCTTTGCCAATTGCTTGGTCCAACCTGCTTATTTTCCAGATGAAGAGAATAAGGCTGAGAGGGTAAATGAGTCAGCCGCTGGGCTCCCTTTCTACCACAAGGGTTGACCTTCTTCTGCACCACGAGGGCTCCCACTGAGGCAGAGGAAGGAAGAGCAGAGCATGCGGTGGGGACTAGCACCCAGGGAACCATGAGAGCAAGGCTAAGCCCTCCCCCGTCTCCCCTTCCCCAGAAGAGTGTGTGCATGTGCGTGTGCGTGTGTGTGTGTGTGTGTGAGAGAGAGAGAGAGAGAGAGAGAGAGAACACACTAATGTGCTGGGGCAGGGAAGGTGAAGGAAGACTAGGGACTTGGAAGTAGAGAGTGTGGGCGGTGGCCTTCCTCCTCCCCCTTGTCTTCATCTTCCTCCCTCTTCAACCCAGACCCTCCACCCACTCCCAGGCAGGGCTGCAAAGGAGACCAAGATGAGTATACCACAGCCTCTGCCCTCCACCAAGAGAGCCAAGACGTGACCTTAGAGGACAGGGCCCATGTGTGCCAAGTGCCAAAATGACAGAGGGCACGCAAGGGGGTGGAGATGGGGCTGGAAAGGGAGCATTTGCTGCAAGACTGAATGGAGGCCCCAGCAGCAAGGTGGGGCAGGCAAAGCACGGGTGCAGGTGCTCTGCCAGTGGGTGGGTGCAGCACACTCAGTTCTATTCCCTGCGCCAGACAGCACTAGGGAAGGCACTTCACCAAGCCGAGCCTCAGTGTTTTTCAATGGTAACATGGATGGTGCAGGGGACATGGAGGTGAGTGGCTCTCCCTTCCTGAGGTGCCCGGGAGGCTCAGTCCAGCACAGTACCCGGCACAGAGTCCCTGTTCAGCAGATGACAGTGGTGTCAATCTCTCCCATTCTCAGCCTCCTAAAGGAACAGACACCCAGGGCCACAGAGCACCTCATCAGATTAATTAAACTTCTCCATCTCACTCTGCAGCAGCAAGATTGCTTCTGAGACCTGGCCCAATTATTCTCAGCTACCAGATCAGAGGGGCCCAACTTCAATGATTCCCTACCTGCCTAGAGAATGGAGGCCAGGCCCCTAAGCCTCTCCCCCTACCATTAGCCCTCTGCTCTAGGCACACTGGTCTCCTCCCCACTGCACAGACCCCCTCCCAAAGCCAGCAGTCATCTATCTTTCTTTCTTTCTTTCTTTCTTTCTTTCTTTCTTTCTTTCTTTCTTTCTCTCTCTCTCTCTCTTTTTTTTTTTTTTTTGACAGGCAGAGTGGACAGTGAGAGAGAGACAGAGAGAAAAGTCTTCCCTTGCCGTTGGTTCACCCTCCAATGGCTGCCACGGCCGGCGCGCTGCGGCTGGTGCACTGCGCTGATCTGAAGGCAGGAGCCAGGTGCTTCTCCTGGTCTCCCAGGGGTGCAGGGCCCAAGCACTTGGGCCATCCTCCACTGCACTCCCAGGTCACAGCAGAGAGCTGGCCTGGAAGAGGGGCAACCGGGACAGAATCTGGCGCCCGGACCAGGACTAGAACCCGGTGTGCCAGCGCCGCTAGGTGGAGGATTAGCCTAGTGAGCCGTGGCACCGGCCAGCAGTCATTTATTTCATTTACTGTATGTATACCAGGCCCTGACTTGGGAGTACAACCCCTCCAGGGAGTCCACAGACTGGCCGCCTGCCCCAATCAGCTGTAGAATTCAAGCAATGTATATAACCACCTCCACCATCAACATGATCGGTCATTGAGCACTCACTACATACCAGGCTTGTGTTAGGCTCTTTTCATCCAGTATCTCCTGCAAAGTGGAGCTTACTCATTCAATTTTTAAAAATTAATTAGTTTATTTCAAAGGCAGAGTTACAGCGAGAGAGAGAAAAAGAGAGAGGTCTTCCATCCGCTGGTTCACTCCCCAAATGATCGCAACAGCCAGAGCTGAGCTGATCCGAAGCCAGGAGCCAGAAGCGTCTTCCAGGTCTCCCACGTGGGTGCAGGGGCCCAAGGACTTGGATCATCTTCTGCTGCTTCCCCAGGCCAGAGCAGAGAGCTGGATCAGAAGTGCAGCAGCAGGGACTCGAACCAGTGCCCATTGGGATGCCGGCACTGCAGGCAGTGGCTGTACCCTCTACGCCACAGTGCTGGCCCTACTACTCCAATTTTAAGATGATGAAACTGACACTCAGAGAGGTTGAATGACTTGCCCAAAGTCACACAAGAGAGGAGTGGAACTTGGAGTCAATCCCAGGCCTCAGCTTCAGGCTCCAGTATCATGCCAGACAAGTCTAAAACAGATCCTTCCACTCCAGGGTTCTTCGTTCTGAGAAATAACCGCACTCGCTCCTCTGCTCCAAAAATTATTTCTAGCAGATGCGGTTGCAGGCCTCAAGACGGCAGTGAAGTAGAGCAAAAGAGCTCCAGGTCCCAGTGTAGAGGGAATTAGCTAATTCTCACCGTGGGCCGCTTCTCACTAGTTGAAGGGTACATAGCATCATAGAGCCCTCATTGTGCGGCTGCAGCTCGCCTCAGGGGTCTAGCACCCTTCATGCATTTACTGTGGAGACACAGCAATCATGCCCAATGCTGTGCTCTCCTGCACCTCGCCGGGGGCCGACGCCCTGCCCAATGGTCAGTGCACCTCCTCCTTCAGGAAGCTGCGCCACCATTCTTTTGGCAGAAAGAATGCTGGGTTCTGTTATGCCCCATTCCCTAACTGGTGGTGTGAACTTGGACAAGTCCCTTCCCTCTGGCCCTTGCTTCCTCATCTGTAAAATGGCAGGGCTGTGTTAGTTGACTTCCAAGCAAGCTTCAGGGATTAAAATATTTCAGTTCTTCAGAAGCCTGAAGTTGATCTCTTTTAGCAACAGATTCAGCTGTCTATGTGCAGAAGCAAAGACTCAGAGATCTGTAGTGATCCACATCAGAAGAGACCAGTTTCTCTCCTCTCAGATTCCACTTTTTTAAAAAAAATATTTATTAATTTGACAGACATAGAAATAGAGGGAGAGAGAGAGTCAAAGAGAGTTGCTCTACAAATGACCACAATAGCTGGGGCTGGGGCCAGGCCAAAGCCAGGAGCCAGGCACTCAATCTGGGTCTCCCACATGGTGGCAGACATCCGAGTACTTGATCCACCACCTGCTGCCTACCAGGGTGTATATTAGCAGGAAGCTGGAATTGGAAGTGGAGGCAGGAATCAAACCTGGCACTCCAATATGGGATATGGGCTTCCCAAGAGGCATCTTAACCATGGGGACAAATGCCTGGAGCCTCACAGACTTCTCTCTCTCTGTTTTTTAAAAGATTTATTTATTTATTTGAAAAGTAGAGTTACAGAGAGGCAGAGGCAGAGAGAGAGAGAGAGAGAGAGAGAGAGAGAGAGAGGTCTTCTTTTTTTAAACATTTAAAAAAAGATTTTATTTACTTTACAGGTAGAGTTAGAGAGAGAGAGAGAGAGAGAGAGAGAGAGAGGTCTTCCTTCCATTGGTTCACTCTCCAATGGCCGCAATGGCCGAGCTGCGCTGATCCGAAGCCAGGAGCCAGGTGCTTCTTCCCAGTCTCCAATGCGGATGCAGGGGCCCAAGCACTTTAGCCAACTTCTACTGCTATCCCAGGACACATCAGAGAGCTGGACTGGAAGAGGAGCAGCTGGGATTAGAACCTGCACCCACATGGGATGCCGGCAATGCAGGTGGAGGATTAACTAATGTGCGCCATGGTGCCAGCCCCCGAGAGGTCTTCTATCTGCTGGTTCTCTCCCCAGTTGGCTGCAATAGCTGGAGCAGCAACAATTTGAAGCCAGGAGCCAGGAGCTTCCTCCGGGTCTCCCATGTGAGTGCAGAGGCCCAAGCACTTGGACCATCTTCTACTGCTTTCCCAGGCCATAGCAGAGAGCTGGATCAGAAGTGGAGCAGCTGGGACTCGAACTGGTGCCCATATGGGATGCTGGCACTGCAGGCGGCGGCTTCACCTGCTACACCACAGCACCAGCCCCACAGACCTCTCTTAATGAAAAGACTACTAAGACCCTAGGGTGTGCCAATTCCCATGCTCAGTAATGACACTCAAGAAACAGTGACTTATCAAAGCCCATGAGTAGAGGGACCATATTTTCCAAACCAAAAACTTGGACATGTAATGTGTCCAAGGATACTGATGTTGCCACTTTCAGATACCAGAGGCAATCTGGAGGCAGGAGAAAGAAATGGCAGACTGTCAAAAAGTTCCCGAACCTTTGGGGGATTTATACAAGCAACAGAGCAGAATGACAGCAAGGAATGGAGGCATGCAAGTTGCTACATCGGAGTTTCTGCCCCTGCCTCTGGCCTGGAGTCCTGGCCTCTGCTTTTGATCCTCCAAGCCATCTCCAAGCAGTAACTTGGAGAACAATATGGTGCCTCTCCACAAGACCCTGGAATTCGATAAACAAGGTTGTCCTCTCAAA